CACTGTGCCAATCCATCTCAATGGGGGTTTTCCTCTTTTTCACTGACCCTCCACTTTACTTAGCATGATGTCCTACTCCAGGGACTAGTTCTTCCTGATAATGTCTCTCAAGAGCCATAGAAAGAGGAAAGCAAAGATGGAGTCTCCTGGGTAAAATGGTCTTGGTGAAGACCATGCCAGGCTCCTAGTGTGTTAGTTGGAGACTCAGTTGTTGCTATTCTCTGTGCTGTTGAGCTGGGATGGATTGTTGTTGTTAAGTGCCATCAAGTCAGTTCTGACCCACACCAACCCTATGTAGGGTTTCTGAGGAGCAGCTGGTGAGCTTGAACAATCAACCTTGTGGTTCAAACTGACTTTGCAATCCAGTGCATTATCCCACAGCGCCACACCAGGAGGAAGGAGAAAACAGCCATCACTGAAAACTCCAGCTAGTTCCATGATTTCTCCAAGGAAGACACTTCACCACCTAGGATTTTTCATAGGGACCTGACCTTTGAGATGCAGATAGGACAGGGACAAGGCAATGAATAAATGTGAGTTGTTGGATTTAGGGAGAGTTTGAGGATGAATGAGCAGGGGACACAGAGAAGAGGGTGGAAGAGGTTCAATTGGAACCTACCTAGGGCATAACAGGGGACCAATAAATATGGTCAAGGAAGACACAGAAGGAAGCTCCTTCACACTAGCCACTACTCTGCCACTGACTAGATTCTGACTCAGTGACTACATAGGGCTGTTACCTAGAGTTTTTGAGGCTGTAAATCTTTATGGGAGCAGACAACCTCATTTTTCTCTCTGGTTCAAGCAGCCCAACTCATAACCCACTATGCCGCTAGGGCTTCTCCACACTAGCACATGGTCTTTAATAAGAATCTGATAACATCCATTCACACAGGTGTGGACTCTGCCACAGAACTTAGGAGCTAGGTCTGGGCACATTCACTACTCTGTGGATTCAGTCACAAAGCTGGATACTCTGATGACGACTACTCTCATTTCCAAGGTTGACAATGCACCAAAAGTAGCTGGGAGTCACCCTGGGGACACAGATGGGAGAGTCTCAGCACAGACCAATTTTGCTTCTGCCTCAGCCTCTTTTGTCTCCACGGTTCCCATGTTCTCTGGCTCAGGACATAGGTATTCAGAGGATGGAGCGTCTTAGTGACAGAGAGATGGCAGAGTGCTGGCCTCTGGGATTCTCCAGCACCATGAGTTTCTTCTGCCTTGGCTAAGGCCTCTTGAAAGCTCAGCTCTGTGCTGTAACATGACACCAGGACTCCATGATGCCATAGTATCCCACTAGTATTTAACCTAAAAGACTGAAAATCAGGAAGTCAAACAGAGAGAGGGTAAGTCAAAAGAGAGGGTAAGAATCATGGAAATCTTAATTAAACAACAAAAACAAGCAAACATAAATGATAAAGCTATTGTTACTCAACATATCCTTCATCTAGGTCTTCATACTTCCAGAGGCAGTGTTTCCATTTCTCTAACGCTTCCCTGAGGAATTCAAAGCTCTTTGATTTATCCGACAACAAAATGGCAATTATGGCATCTTCAAGGGACTCAGACTGAGTTCCTTTTCAAAGTTCTTTAAGTTTTGGGAACAAAATGGAGTCTGAAGGGATAAGATCAGGGCTGTAGGATGGACAGGGAAAGCTTGCCCAATGAGAGGACAGACCCTCCTACCCTGGAAGGAATGAGATAGAAGAAAATGCCTCAGCAGTTTTCCTGGCTTTTTTCTCACCAACACAGTTTTTCATTTTCTTAAAACTTTCATGTAAGTCTCCATGATTATCCTGTGCCCTTCAAAGAAATCTACCAAGATTACCCCTTTGGGATCCCCAAAACACAGTTGCTATAGCCTTCCAAGCTGATTTCTCTGCCTTGAACTTAACTGACTCAGCCATTCCCTTCAGAAGCCACTGTTTTGAAAAGACGATTTTTGGAAGGCACCTTAATGAGATGAAGACCAAATATATTTCTGAGAGAACTTTTCTGTAGCTATCCGTTCAGAGACATGTTTAAACACAGTTTGTTTGGAATAACATTGGAACTGGAACCCTAGTAACAATACTTTGACTTATCCTTATAGTTTTACACCGACATTCATTATAGCCTTACTCACAAACAACCAAATGTTGTAAACAAGCCTCAACAGATAAACGGATAAGCGCAGTGTAGTACATCTACACAATGAAATATTTACAAATAAAAATTATGAAGAAAAATGAACTTTTGTACATGCTATAACATGGATGAACTTTGAACAAATTAAATTAGGTGAAATAAGTCAAACACAAAAAGACAAATATTATATGATCTCATTTATATAAAATATCTAGAATAGGCCAGTACACAGACACTAAAGTTTATTAGTGATTATAAGGGGGTAGGGAAAGGAAGAGATTGGCAGTTATTGCTGAGGGGGTATTGAGTTTCTCTTGGGGTCACAGAAAACATTTGGCAATGGATAATGGTGGTAGTTACACACATAGTGGATACAAGTAATGTCACTGAATGTATACTTAAAAATGGTTAAAATGGCAAATGTTTTGTTAAATATATTTACCACAATTGAAAAGCAATTTACAACACTTTGCCAAAAGTTCTTCTGTTTAGGTTTACTTAAGAGTGTCGAGAGGTAGGAGGGATGGTAATGATGTGAACTGCCTTCTGGGATCCTACACAAGCTTTTTCAGCAGGGACATTATAAGGAAAGAAATGTCTTGGAAATGCTGACTGGCAGAGGAAGAAATGAAAGTGAGATTCATTTGTCCTCAGAGTAAATATCACAGACAGAATGGGCTCTCTGGGGGGACCATTCCACTGTTCTCTCTTTCCCTCTCCCCTCCATTTTTCTTTCCACTTGACAGTGTAAATGTTTAATAATGAGGCTATTACCCACTGGAGAATGTGAGTAAAATAGGTATTTCCTGTTGGCAGGCAGGCAGCAGCAAATATAGAGAGAATGAGATAATGTTAAAGATTAAAATTTTGTTGATAAATGGCTTATACTGAATATTAACATATGGCTTTCTGGTAAGAGATGTACATAAAATAACAGTTACATTTACCAAAATAGAGAAAACATCTTTTCTGTGTTCTATTTAATCTTATAGAAATTGTAAAAGTTCAGATAGTAAATGTCATTCTGAAAGTACTAATTAATATTCTGATATACACAGAAAAATGTCTTAGCTGATTCTCTATAGTTACTTAAAGGAGGTGTTTCAAGTATGACTTTATGTATTAATTTTAAATTATGTGATTTCAAATCTTTTATTTGAATATAATTTATGTGGACAGACCTGTCTGAACTTAGTCAATATTTGAGTGAAGTTTTGCATAACTTTAGAGTGTTAAAAGCATTAATCAGACTCTTCTCATATTGCAAATGAAAGCACTGGTTTATAAGTAGTGGAAGTCAGTATGGTGCCATGATTTAGGACAAGGAGTTTAGCTCTACAGTGCCTAGGTTTGAATTACTCCTGGATAATTTTTAACCTCTTTGATCTTGGGAAGTTGCTTAATATCTCTGAACTCAGTGTCTTCATTATCAAAAGAAATCATAAGAATCTATCTCTCAGTGGTATATTGTGAGGAAATATCACTTATAGCAAGATGCTTGGTACACAGGAATGTTAGCTATTTTAAAGTAAGCTAAGATTTTATGTTTTCTCTTAAAAGAAATTTGGCCAGATCCCTGGACAAATAATCACAAAGAGAAATGCCTATAAACCTCCAATTTTAGGTCTTATTTTTACAATACTTACAATTGTTTTTACAATAGCCAGTTTTGCATGTTGAAACATGCACTGTATTCATTATGCTTTAGAGTATACAATCTCTTTTAGAAATTGATACCTGCCTCAGTTATCTAGTGCTGCTATAAGTGAAACACTGTCAGAGGTATTTGAATAGAAACTTATTTCCTCATAGTTTAGGAGGCTAGCAGTCTGAATGCAGGGTGCTGGCTCTAGAGGAAGGGGCCCTGGTAGTGCAGTGGCTAGATCCTTGGCTGATCCTCAAAAGGTCTGTAGTTTGAACCCACCAGCTGCTCCATGTGACAAAGATGTGACAGTCATCTGCTTCTATAAAGAAGACAGCTGTGGAAACTGAAAGGGGGTCACCAAGAGTTGGAGTCCACTCTATGACCATGGGTTTATTTCTTTATTTTTAATTTGGCTCTAGGGGAAGGATCTTTCTGTCCCCACTGGGGGACAATCTTTATTTTAGCTTCTTCTTGGAGTTCCTTGAAGACGTCCATGTGGTATCTATCTTTCCTCCATTTGTAGTTGCTTGCTCTGTGCTTAAACTTCTTCTCCTTAATTAATTAAACTTCACATTAATGCTTAAACCATCAATGTGATTGGTTTAAGAAATTCTACACTAATATGGTCTCATTAATTTAACAAAGACAATCCTAGTCCCCAATCCACAGGTATAGAGGTTAGGATTCCAACACAGATTTTGTGGGGGGCACAATTTAATCCAATGTAGTGTCATAGCTCTCTTTTGCACTCTACTGTTTGCTCTGGTAGCATAGTGGTTACGAATCGGGCTGCAAACCGCAAAGTCAGCAGTTTGAAACTACCAGCTGTTCCACAGGAGAAAGATGAGGCTTTCCACTCCTGTAAAGATCTATAGCCTTGGAAACCCTGTACAGGGTCGCTATGAGTCAGTTGGTTCCGACTCCTCGGCACATAACCACTACCAACCATGGTCTTTGATCGGAATCAATAGAAGCCCATTCCAGTGGACTTCTGGACACATTAGCAGATAAAAATGGAAACAAAACAACAAATCAGTTACTTTAATTTCTCCAGCAGTTATATGGAAAGTAACTAGGACATTAGGATTTTATTTTTTTTATTTTAAGAATTTTCTGATCATAGTATAGTCTGTTTGTTTTTTTAAATCTCATTTTCATAGTTACATTTTGTTTCCATACTGTAACAACAAGAGCACTGCCGCCCACCCCAGAGAAGAAGAGTCAGTTAAGAGGGGGTCTCAGTTTCCTCCGGCTGTTTGAAGCATCTCATTGTTCTCTTTATCCAGGACAAGAAGCTGACGACCCTGGTGAAGACTGCTGGAGGAGTCCCATTTGGATTTCCAAAAGAGACAATGCCCTGGGCCACATTGTTGCATACAAGGGGGCCTCCAGAGTCCCCCTGTGGACAAAGAAAGGAAAGGGACTGAACCAGATGGCCCAGACCCACTCCTCCATGCTTCCTTAAGTCCTAGATTCTCAGGTACTCTTCGAATCATGCTTGAGTTCAGGGACATGGTGGAGAAGGCCAGCCTCTGGAGTTTTCCACTGCCGTGCCAGCTTTCTCTGTTTCCAACTTAAGTCACACTTACAAACTGCTGGCTGTATTTTCTGTTTCTGGTCCAGTGTAAGCCAAGAAGCTTTCACCAATATTCAGAAAACTCTGCAGATAAGTGTGTAGTCAACTGCTCTTCCCATTCCCCAGGAACCCTTCCCTCCACTCTAGTTCAGTTTCTGGGCTGAGGACATGGAGATGTGTCTGTTCCCACTACTCCATTTCTGCCAGGTCCCTCTGTCACAGGGCCATGTTGGCAGATGCTCAAGGCCTTACCAGGAAAACGGACTTCCTTTCCCTTGGGTTCCCCACACAAATCTGCAGTTGGCCACTGTAGCGACGGAAGCGACGGCTGCACTCCTGATCCCTCTGCACTCTCAGCCGCACATCTTGGAGTAGGCTTGTTCTCCTGTTCAAGCTGACCAGGCCCCAGCCAGCTGCAGTGCACAAAGTGCCAGGCCTCAACGTGGCCCGGGTCTGAGGCAGAGCCACGGGCCTTATGAATCTATTCAGTCTGGTTCTATTTCCCAGCTGGCAGGAAAAACACAGATGATTCTATTAGCTGGGGCTCCAGGCAAGGGCTCAGGACCTCCACCCCACACCTCCATGGCCACTTTGGGTGTTATCTCTGCTTCCTCCTCCATGGTCTCAGGACATAGGGGAGCTGCCTCTCTGGAAGGGGCCCACTAGGTGTGGGAGAACCAGAGCATCAGACAATGGTACCTGCAGCAACATGATATCATTCAAGTTGGTCTGTGGATTGTATTGAGGGTGGGGAATGGCTCTGAGCACAGGGATTCGCTGCTGGCTCCTTTCTGTCGTCTGGATGTTATGGGCCCCCAAGATGACGTTTATAGGGCTGCAAAGGAAAGGTGACCTAAATCACAGGAACTCTGCAGGACAGGTGGGTACCCAGGACAGATAGACTACAGCTTAGGGCACAAGGGAACAGCTGGGGCTGAGCTCCTCTGTGCGTCTGAGTTTAGAATGACAGGGGCACAGAAGCTTTCAATTTTGGTTCCATCAGATTAATTTGAGTCCAATCCATGAGTCCCACTCTGCCTTTTGTTATTTTGGACCAGGTGCTCCTTTTCTCCTCAGAAGTGTTATTTGCACTGACCCATGCTCTCACTTGAAAACTCACTAGGCCTCATTTTCACCCTTCTATTGCCATAGTCTTATTTTCAGCCAGACACTATATTACTGGTTGCCCCAGAAGCTCTTGAACTCCTTACCTTCCCAAGCAGTGAGCTGCTGTCAGCACAAAGTCTTTTCGCACCAGGAACCCCCCACACGTGCTTAAGCCATTTGGAGTTTGGATTTGAAGATAAGCCATATAAGGGTGGGAGTGGGGCCTGGCCTCCCGGCCTCCGATGATTTCCCCTGGAACAAAGCATTCGGAGTTAATCTCTGTGCTCACTGAATCCACTGTGTGGTACCAGACTGGTGGCTTTAGAAAGGCTAAGACATGGAGGTAGGAGAAGAAATGATGTAGGTGGAAGAGGAATTGGAAATTTGTAGGGACTGGGGTATGCAGGGCACCAGACATTTGGAGAGGGCTCCGGGGTTGTGTGGGAAGTTCTGCTGGCTTGAAAGGAGTTCCATTCCAGACCTGTTCACCTCAAGTCCTGAAAAAGGGCAGAACAATCCTTGGCAAAAGACAGCTTCAGCCTTGTGTATAGAGGAGGTTTGCTCTGCTGTCAGAATGGAAATCTGGAGGCCTCTGGAAGAATGGGCTCTCCCTGAAGTTCCCTAGTGCTTTCTCTGGGAATGTCTCAGATTCCAATCCTCCTGAGTCTAGCTATTGCAAGCTCATGGCTAGCATAAAACTAGCTTCTAAGGATATGGCCATGAGCTGAAGGGACCTTTATTATTGTCTCCTAGGTTCTAACACTTGGATTTCAGTTAGAGTTTACAAAGCACTTACCGCATGCTAGGCACTATTCCAGAAGCTTTATGTACAGTGATTTAACCCTCATAGAAATTCTAAAGTAGGTATTAATGTTATCCCTACTTTATAGATGAGGAAGCTGAGGAACTGTTCAAGGATACAGAATTAGGTTGTGGCCAGCCTGGCAGACTGGATCCAGAGTCTATTCCCCTGGCCACTATATATTTGTTGTATTTATTTGTTGTTAGGTGGTAAGGAGAGAGTGAGGAAGGGAAGGCAAACACTTTTGTACAATGAATTTACCTAACTCCTTGGCAAGTATTTGAAGATGAGTGTGGCCAAAAGTCTGAAATGCAAGGAGAGGTGGGAAGTGGACTAATGGTGTTTTTATGCTGAGAGAGCAAGGGACCCTGTGCTAGTGAATTCACTAAATCTTGGGCTACTATCCTGGCAGAGATGACAGACTTAGACTAGGGAAGGACAGAGAATCATAATAAACAACTGTGTCCTCCTATGAACACAGAGATAACTCCCACCATGCTGTATATTTGCATATGAGCATGTATTGCTAAGCTAGGAGAAAAGATCATATTGCTTCTCATTTCTAATTTCCCTTCTTACTCCAGAATCCTTTGATCTTCTAGAAAAGTGCTATTCTTAGATGATGAGGACATAATCCAGGGAAGGGAGAAAACATACTTAGCCTTCTAGAAAGAATTCTTCTTCCTATTCCCTTGATTTTCTATTCCACTTTAGACTTTAGAAAGTAGTTGGAATGAAATGAGGCCAGGATGTGTGTGAGGATGTGACCAGGGTTACCTGGAGACAACATAAGGGAAATGAAAAGGGAGAACATAAGGGCTTTAGGCCTTGGGTTGGGCATGGTCACTTACCTGCTCCTGCCCCATGGGGTAGAAGAAAGGCCAGCAGGGGAAAGAGCAACTGCATCTTCCCTGGATGACTGCTTTGTCAGTTGGTGCTGGTGCTTCCTCCTGCTTAACTTTTAGTCTCCTAGAAAGGAAGGAAGGGGAGGAGGGATTGAGAATTCACGGTCCTGTTCTCCTGTTTCTGTGATAGATTTCATCACCAAGGCTGCCCAAGAAGTTCCCTACCAACTGCCAGCAATCCGGGTGAAGACAGAATAATCCAAACCCACACCATGATCTACACAGCTGTGGAGTCAGTGCTGACAGAAAAAATAGGGACCCAGGGTAACCAGGAGAGAGACTTTGGACACCTTGTCCTAGAATCTTAAACTCACTAAGTTTAATAATATCCTTAACAATGCACCGAAGCTGGAAGCTTCCAAATCTGATTCACATCACTGTCAGATTAGAGCATCAGTCCTTTGAGATTCTAAGTGTTCTCAAAATCATAACAAGATCCCTAGATTGCTTGTTCATTTATATGTAAAGTGTTGGATAACGGTGGATGAAACATGGATGGGATACATAGTGAAGACATATATTGAAGGGGACAGAAGAGATCTAGTCTTCATCCATTGGCCCAAGAAGTCTTCAAGACAAATGAATAACAATTTTCCCTGGGTGAGTGGAGGGTGCTACCAGGGAAATGGAAAGGAAGAAGCAAGGCTCTGGCACTGATGCTCACAAAAGCTCCAGATCACACAATGAATGCCCTATTATTTCACAGAACATTTCATGTACTTTGTACATGTTATGTACAAAGGAGGGATCAGTACCTGGAGAAAGACATCCTGCTTGGTAAAATAGAGGGTCAGTGAAAAAGAGGAAGGCTTTCAATGAGATGGATGGACACAGTGGTTGCAACAATGGGCTCAAACTTAAGAAAGATTGTGAGGATGGGGCAGGACGAGGCAGTGTTTTATCCGTTGGATCTTTATGAATTGGAACCAACTGGAAGGTACCTAACAAGAACAACAACAATATCATTGATGTTAAGCAACACATATGTGTATAAAGAAAACCAAAAAATGTATCACAAAAGTCAATGCTGTGGTTGACTCTGTGGTTTGGAGGACACAGTTTAAAAAATTCTGGTTGTCAGAGAGTGAAGATGATTGAGTACATTTGGATGGTGAGGTGACTACATGAGAGTAGTTAGAAGCACATATTTTCAGTTTTCATTATCTTTTTAAATAAAATATGATATTTGAACAAAATAGACTGTGATATATTTCACAATATCTATAGCTGGTTACATCTACTTATTGCATTTCCATCCGTTACATTTATGGGATGTTGAGGCTTTAAAATAGAATGTTTCTTATCTCCTGGATCCCATACACCATTGACTCAAATCCTCGGAGCTTGCAGTTACCAGTGGTTGCTGGGTCAAGTTCCCTTCCCCAACCCCTTTGATGCTACCACACAGGAAACCTGTGTGGTATTTAGGGACTCTGTACATAATCATGATTGCCTTAATGTCAGCTTTAGAAGATCATTTTTAGAAGCTTCATGGGAAGTTTCAGGTGATGAGCTTGTGAAAATTTTATGACTCTGCAGGGAAGTGAGAAAAGTTCTGTCACCTACATGCCAGAGCTGGGCAAAGGCTACATCTGAGCCATGCACGGTCTTCCCACTACTTGCAGGAAGCAAGGTACTTTCTTGTCTAATGAAGACCTGAGTTGGCTCTGTAGGAAAGGATGCAAAGCAAGTGACAAAAAGACTAAACTCTTGGTAGGGTCCTGTGGTACATAATTTACTGTAGTGAATTCATTGGAGTCCCCATAACATCAGGAGAGTTAGAGGGGATGAGGCACACTGGAAGCCTTGGATGTGGTAGACAAAGATTTGAAAAACACTCAAAAGTTCTCAGTGTTTCCTAGCATAAAAGATTACTTCTGAGACTGAGCATCTGCCCTTGGGTCCATAATAAAGAAGTGGAAGCAAATAATTTCTCTGAGGTCTTCTTATAAAAATGTTGTTGTTGTTATTAGGTGTCATTGAGTTGGTACTGACTCATAGCAGCCCTATGCACAACAGAACAAAACACTGCCCAGTCCTATGCCAACCTTACAATTGTTGCTATGTTTGAGCCCATTGCTGCTGCCACTGTGTCAATCCATCTCATTGGTGGTCTTCCTCTTTTTCTCCAACTCTCCACATTACCAAGTCCCTGAAGATATCCTTCTCCAGATAAAATTGGTCCCTCCTGATAAAATGTCTGAAGTATGAAAGATGAAGTCTGGCAATCCTGGCTTCCAAGGAGCATTCTGGTTGTACTTGTTCCAATACAGATTGGTTTGTTCTTTTGGCGGTCCATGGTACTTTTAATATTCTCTCCAACACTCAAATGCATCAATTCTTCTACAGCCTTCCTTACTCCGTGTCATGTTCATGCAATCTAAATATTCAACAACAGAAGAATGGTAATATGACTGATATATATTCATGCAATGAGATGCTATCCAGGTATTAAAGTCACGTTGTAGAAGACTATTTAACAACATGAGAAACATTTCACTGTCTAATATTTAGTGTAAAAAGTAGAATGTAAATCTGTATATACAATTTGATCATATTTCTGTTAAAAAGCAACAATCAGAAAATTTTATGCAACTCTTATTTTTACTTTTGTGTTTTCCTTTTTTAAATAATGGAAACATATTTATTTAATAAACAGAAAAATTATTTTGGAATCATCATCCTTATAAACAGTGAACATTAAGTCCTGTGGTAGAGGCAATCTAACAGTTTAGCAGAACAATTTCCCTCTCTTTCAGGAGACATGGCTAAACTACATCATCTGGCCTCACCTGAGTTTAGGTTTGTCTGTGTGACTCTTGTAACAAAAGGAGTGAATGGAAATGAGGTGTTCAACTTCCTGTCCTGTCCTGTCTCACACCCCCAAGCAGGATTGTCTAGCCTCTTTCCCTGCCAGGGGAACTCAGAAGCCATCTCTAGGGGATTGAGCCTGGAGTTCTTTCATCATGACTGACCATGAAATTTATTGTCCAAACTGAGACATGTGGGAATAAAAAAAAGGAGTATAGGAACACTCATTTTGGACTGTATTTGATAATAGAATTAACAATATAATAGAAGTCAATTGTTAGTGGTGGTTATATGTCACTAAATAAGTTCTAACTCATAGTGACCCTGTATAGGATTTCCAACACTGTAAATCTTGGATCTTTATAGGAGCATAAAGCCTCATCTTTCTTCTGTGGAGAGAGTGGTAGATTTGAACTGCTGACCTTGTGGTTAGCAGTCCAGCTCTTAATCCACTACGCTGACAGGGCTCTTTAATTGTTGTACTGTTGTTGTTCTTGTTAAAGGCCATCAAGTCTGTTCTGACTCATAGGAGCATGTGGGGGTTTGAATTGCCCACCTTGTGGTTTGTAGTCCTGTGCTGATCCTACAGCACCTTACCAGAAGTCAGTTCAATTGTTTCTATTAGTTGCCATCAAATTGCTTCTGACTTAAGGCAACCCCATGGATGTAGAGTAGAGCTCCTCCATGAGTTTTTCATTGTAACCTTTCAAAACAGATCACCAGGTCTGGCTTCTGAGATATTTCAGGGTGGGTTTGAACCACCAACCTTTGGCTACAAGTTGAGGACTTAACTTTTTGTGCCACTCAGAGCCCCTCTACTTTGTTAGCCACTGAAATTGTGAAAATTTTCTCTCAGTCAGTGTGGTTAAGGTTATCTTACTTAAGCTAATCTTTCTCTGACTTGGTATTAAAAAAAAAGTTATCTTAATAATTACAAATTTTTAAATATTGAAAAATTAAAAATAGACTGAAAATGTCAGCTCTAATTCTATTATTCCAATTGGTTACAAAATATAATTTCATTCTATTTTTTTTTTCTATGTGTATTTTTACACTGGTGTCATTATGACTTATTTAGATTTCAATTCCGTAATTTAAATTATTCATTACAAATATTTTCCTCATTCATTAAAAATCTGTTAGTGAATATTATTTTAGAATCTCATTCATGTTTAATAAACAAGGTTTTCAATGATCTAAATAATACATATACGTTTTTTTTTTTAATTAGGAAAATAGACATGTAGAAAAAACAAACAAATCAAAAACCCTGAAAGACAATTCGAGTAGATAAGCAAAAATTTGATTATAATGTAGACTGTTCTATAATTTAAACAAATTTTTTACATGGAAGAATAGCTGTAAGCATTCTTACACGAAAAAAAAATGTACTTATATACAGGTATTCCTTGCCGTTTGAAAGTTCTCTTTATACTCCGTCACATTACAAAACACCTGCTTTAGTTCCTGTTTTCACTAACTGAAAAAAAAAAAATTATTTTTATAAAAAAAACAGAACAAAGAGTGAAGCAAATTAGCATTCAGTGCTAGTTTTGCAGTGAGCGTTAAAGTGGCGGCATACACCCAGACACGGGTCCAATGGCGGTGTCGCCAAACTCCTTCTCTGGGAACTATACTCAGCGTCTCAGCAGCAAGCAGCCATAGCTTTGAACTGAGTCTGTAAACACTATGTGTTAGTGTTGTTTTAGGTTTTATGTGTTGTTCGGTACGACTTGGTAGTTTATTTTTTGGGGTTTAGGAACCCTAAAAAATTCCCATATACAATAATGGTATTTGCTTCTTCACGACATCATTTTGGCTTATGAATGGTTTCATAGGAATGCTCTGTTTTTAGATAGTGGGAAAACCTGTATTAACTTTAAAAGGTTCCATACAATTCAACTGTGTATAACTTTTAAAAAGCTAATCTCCACGCCCCCCAAAAAAGCTAAAGAGGATATAGAGAAACTCTGTTAACTGATGGTATGTGGAGGGGATTATAATCAATGTAATGAAACAAGGTATATGAATGTTTGAATGTGAAACCGATGATGTGCCCTGAAAACTTTCACTCAATCCACAATAAAAACCTTAAAAAAAAAAAACAAAAAAAACAAAAACAAGGTGCAGTTGTGTAGGTGACTAGAAAGATGAATTAAGAAGGGTAAAAATGATGAGTCATACATAAAG